CTATGTCAGGAAAAAGCAAATAAACAAATAAATTAAAGGAACAAACTTCAGTTTTCACATACTTCTAATTTAGTAGACATGATTCTTGTGAAGAATTAACATTATCTGGAGATCAGAAAACATGATTCACAGCCCCACTGCACATGAAGCTTGGGTGGCCTTAGGTAAACCAGTTTGCTTCTTGCAACCCAAGCGTCCTCACATATTTGCAAGTGAGAGCACACCCTCTACCTCATTGGATTATTACACTGTCCTGGAAGGCAATTTATCATTGGCCAAAATAGTCAACTAACAACTTGCTTAAATTGTTCAAATTAAGCATTTATATTTCTACTAGGAATAATATCATTTATGTAAATATCCAACAAGGATGCAACTTATCAGTGTCTGCAAATTTTATTTCTATCTAAGATAAGAAAATGTATAAAGGCCTAGATTTTAAAAGTCAGCATTTAAAATTCATATATCTAACCCCAAAAACATACTCTTTGGGCAATCTATGTATTACAGAGCATGAAGTTATGGGTAAGGTTTTTGTTTTGTTGTTTTTCATTCAGTAAAAATGTGGTTTAACTGAAAACAAATAAGTGTGAGAAAGCATTCTTTTTTCCTTCAAAAGTAAAATGAACCTACTCTTGAAGAACCATTACATATAGCACCTGAAAAAAAAATTTTTTAAAGTAGGAAGCTTGGCTACTCTCTAATATTTCATGGCCAATTTAAAGCTTTGATATTCAAATTGCAAAGTAGACCAGGGTCAACCAGGATATCCTTGTGATAAACACGTATGGTTCCTCTGCTTGTTCACAGGAAAAAGCTAACATAAATAAATGAGTTCTGTAATTAAAATTCTATAAATGGATGACCATCTTGCTTTGTGAAAAGCAATCAAAGGAAAACCAGTTGTAATTTAACATAGGGTGTTTGCTTTCACAAATACCTAAGGCCTTGGAATACAGCTTCAATTGCCCATACAAACATGTTTCAAGATCTTGACATTGAACTCGACAGATGCCAGTTTAGGGGCTGCAGGTGGTTCTGAAACCAGGGACCCTACAACATCTTTGACTAAGTTTATCACAATGCAATTATTCCTCTTCAGGGTGGATAAAGGGCAGAGAGGGAAGTAGAGCTCATTGGCAAAGGTCAAATATTTATTTCTTCTCAAACTCTGAACTTAGCTCAATTGTGGCAATGGTTTTTCCTCCATTTTAATAAAAAATGTATATTTTATTTGTATGGAGCTTTGAGGTTCATACAAAGCTTGAATGTCTATAATTTGGCTCACACCTGGCTCAAAATATGCTTGTCAAATGGGTGTGCAGATATGATTTTCTTGATGAATAAGGAAATGAAAGTTTCTAAAGTTGTCTCAGATCACACAGTTCAAGGGAGAAAGAAATAAATTTTCAGTCTGACCCTTTCAGAGTTCTATTCCTGGTGTCATCCTGTCATCTCAAGATAAAATGCATTAGAGAGAATTCTAATCTGAAACCTCCTTATGGTGCCATGCTGGTGTGTGCAGTTTTGGAAGGGTCAACTCACACAGCAGTGAAAGGAAGGCAGCTCTAGGGCAGCATTCAAGGGTTAGCACCAGTGGGGTGAAGGGTGTTAGCATGCAGATTCTGGAGTCCCTACAAGCTTCCTCCAATTTGAGTCTTACGTACAGAAAAGTTTGGGAAACACTGCTCTAGGACACAGTACAGAACCATGGAGGGAAAAAGAAATAACAGATTTCCTGAACTGCATAGACCATAACAGATGGTACAGTTAGTACTCCCACAAGACAGCAAGTGCCACAAAAGCAGGTCCTGTCTGTCTTCTCTAGCATTATATTTCTAGTACTTCTAACATAGCACTGTCACAAAGAAGAGGCTAAGCAGACAGTTATTGAATTTGCAGATCCCCGATGCTTTGTGTTAATTCTTGTTTACCTTAAATGCCTAGTACACAGCACATGCTCAGTGAATAACAGCTGATCTGAATTCCTGTGAAGTACGAGTACTTACCATGTGCCAAGGAGGACAAATGCTTTGGGTGCATTATCTTATGTCATATTGACAATGATCCTGTGAGGAAAGTAGTAAACTTGCAATTTTTATTTTAGAGATGATGAAACTGAAGGTCTGAGAGGTGCAATAACTTTCCCAAGTTCACAAGCAGCAGAATCGGGACTCAAACCTAAATCTACCACACCAGAGTCCCTGTACCACACAGCCTCTCACAGAGGTGAGCTTTCACCAATGAGCACAGGCACATTCTTTTGATATCAGACAAAACATGACATTTCTCTAATTTATCGATTCTCCTTAACTCCTTAAGCAGTATCTATTTAACATCAATTGGCAAAATTGAAAGTTTATAGTCTTTTTGATATAAACTCTGATGAAATAAAACCATATTAATAATAACCCCATTCCTTCTAATTCTGCTCCTCCCAACCCTGTTATAAAAACAAAACAAATCCTATGAAATGACACTTCAAAACTCATCAGATTTTTATTTGCAGATTCTTCTAATGCTTTCTCAAACCAAAGGGAGCTTGTTTTCTCAACCAGCTAGAAAAAATATTGTGTTCAGCAAGAATTCTGAAAACTTTGTTCTACTTACCAAGTACAAAAGTATCTCAATAAATATTATATAACACCAAGGAAGAAACATCCTTGGCCTTGCAGGTGCTTTCTAAAGTCCTTCTTCAGACACAGTCACCAAGTTCTGGGACTGATCCTGGTCTAAGAAAAGGGAGCCCCAGGAGCCCTTGATTAAAGATCAATAGTTTGGTCCAGTTCTTGTTGAGCCTGTGCCAATCTTGAGTATCACAACTGCTGAAAATGGGTTCTTGCTGCTGTATTCTTAAATGATATCATAGTTTTGTAAAGTCTTTATTCTTCTCTTAGGCTCCAGGAGTTCTTCAGCCAATCTTTCAGTGAATTTTGTATCTAGGATCCAAAATCATGTCCAAGCCAGTCTGTAGCAAGGCTTCCCTTTCCTTCCTGCTTCCTCAGTGACAGATGACTTTATCTTTCCATTACTGGGTCTCCTCTCACATCCAGTATGCTGTTTAATACCACCCGATAACTTGAATTTTTGTGCAAATTAGAAAATAACAGCTCCTCTGATTTCACATAGTCCTGTGA